GTGTGTGTGTGTGTGTGTGTGTGTGTGTGTGTGTGTGTGTGTGTGTGTGTGTGGAGTAACTAGGTGACTTCTAAAACCATTCCCCTGAGTTTCCTTCTAACTCTATGACCACTCCTCTCCTTCTTTTTCTAATTCATTATTTATTTTTTTTACATTCTTTTTACAAATTTTGAGCTCTGAATTCTTTCCCTCCCTCCAGCTCCTCCTTTATTCATTGAGAAGGCAAGCAATATGAATAATATATAATAAATATAATAATATTTTCTTATTAGCTGTGTTGTTAAAAAAAGCATGAAAAATAAAGAGAGTTTTAAAAAAAATCGTACTTCAATTTGCATTCAGAATTCATCAAGTATCTCTCTGGAAGTGCATAGCATTTTTCATCAAGGGTTCTTTGGAATTGTCTTGGATCTTTGTCATTTGATTAGAGTAGCTAAGTCTTTCACAGTTCATTATTGTTATAATTCTGTTGTTATCGTGTACAATGATATCCTGGTTCTGCTTCCTTGACTCTATACCAGTTCATATAGGTCTTCCCAAAACCATCTCCATCATCATTTCTTACAGCACATATACCATAACCTGTTTAGCCATTCCCCAATTGATGGACAGCCCTTCAATTTCTAATTCATGACCACCACAAAAAGAGCTGCTATACATATTTTTGTACATATGGGTCCCTTATCCTTTTTTTGATCTCTTTGAGGTTTAGACCCAGTAGTGGCATTGATGAGCAAAAGGCATGCGCAGTTTTATAGCCCTTTGAGGATAGTTCCAAATTGTTCTCCAGAATGGTGGGACCAGTTCACAACTCCACCAGGAGTGCATTAGTGTCCTCTCTTTCTTTTGATATTTCCTTTTCTTCTCCCTGACTACTTAAGGTAGGAGTTCTTGGTAGCAGAGCCAGGATTTGAATCCAGGTTCTCAGACTCAAAGCCCAGTGTGCTTTCCTCTCCCTGGGCTACCTCCATCATCTTAGCCCCATCTTGACTCTTTGCTCTGAATTTCCAAGGTCTGGTTCTATGAACATAGCATTGTAATACTACATTAAAATAGATCCGAATATCTAGGGAGGAACCATAATATCCAGGAAGAATATCAAGAGAGAAGGGACCTCAAAGATACTTGGTTTCCACCTTCTCCTCCCCATCAATACTCCACCTTTGATTTCCCTGTCCATCACCTCTCCACATGCGATCTCCAACAGTGTCAAAAAGCAGGAAGCCAGATGTTTTCATTATTTTGATCTGGATAGGGACCCAGATGTTTACCTTGCAGCCAGTCTCTCTTTGTGGGGTGTGGGCAAGGGAAGGTCTGGTCTGTAGCTATGGCCTTAAGGCTGCCAGAGTGAAGACACCTTCCAGAGCAGATCTACCCTGACTCAGATCACCCTTTTTCCAGGGAGATGTAAGCACAAAGACCAGCTCTGCAAGTTGTCAAGTGACAATTTCCATAAATCCATCAGACAGAGTACAAACTCATTTCCATAGACCCTTCTGTCTGAAGGGATGGGACAAACAAGCTGTAGTTTCAAAATGTAATGAGATGGTGGGTCCAGGCACCCTTAGAGCCAGGGATGAGGGGTGGGATATGAGAAGCTTGTAAAGAAGGGGTGGAGAATATTTGGCAAATAAACAACATTATCCTAGTAATAATAATTGATACCTTGGATTATATTTTTATGTAAGTGGAAGAATCTAAAAGTTATTTCTTATCATATTGAATTACTGGTATGGGAAGGTTTATTGAAAACCAAGGCATCTGCAGACCAGAAAATATGAGGAACACCTGCCCTAAAAATTCAAGTCAAGGTGAGAGAAGAACAGAGAACATTCAGAAAGGAGTCAGATTTTCTCCCTTGTGCTCAGGCTGGAGCCAGCAATACACACTCCTGGTCAAGGACTGAGGTGAGGTTTCTATCCTCTCCTACTCCCTATCAGCAACCTTCCCTCAGAATTCTCTACCTTCTCACTGGTCTACCTCTACTTGGGCTTTGAGCCAATTACAGAATAATGGCTGATAATAATTAGTGCTTTAAGTTTTATAGTGATTTAGGGTATACAAGTATTTTGTTTACAACCACTGTGTAGAAGTATTTTGATACTTACTTAACAGATGAGGGAAACTCAGGTTAGTCAGCATGACAGAGGGGATTTGAATTCAAGTCTTCTAACTCTTAAGTCCAAGGTTCCTTAGCTGCTTCAACCATAGGCTAGGGTGGGTGGGAGGATTCCCAGGAGAGAAAGCTGGGGACTGGGGGAAGGGCAGAGCATTCATGGAAGCAGAGACAGACACATCCCTGGGGGCAGCTGGTGTTCCCACAGATATATGTCAACCACATCATTTCTGAGGTACAAAGGGGAGTTACCATCACTCTCTAATACCTTCCCAGAGCATAGGCCTCCAGGCATTTCGCATTTCTAATTCTCAAACTATCTTGACTTTAACACTGCCTGGGTGGTGGGACCAAGACACACAGCTCATGAGGGACTGTTGGAACTGCCACCTGGCACAGATGGCCAGAGGAGCACTGACATATGGAGCAATACTTGGGTGGGTCCCTGGGGGGGGGGTGGGAGGGAAGCACACCTTGTTCTGAGACAGAGGCAGAGATAAGGATAGGGGAGGCTTTGAAGTCAATGAGAAGAGACTTAGAACAATGCAGAGGAGCAGTAAGCACAGGAAATTTAGAGAGAAAACATGTCAAATGGATACAATTCATCTTCATTAGGTTCCTCCTCATCAATTTGTTTTCCTTAATGTTATGGTAACCAGCGTAGTTTGCTTAACTGATAACTATCCCAGCTACAGAATCTCTATCGCAGTTACACCAGTGACAGGTGACCCCCTTTGCTCCCATTGACCCTCCCAAACACGCTGTGTCCTTTCTGTATCACCTAATCAGCAAAGAAGTTTTTATCAAGCACCCGTTGTGTGCACAGTATTGTTCTAGAGATATGAAAAAAAAGAGATGCCATGTCTGGCCTCGAACTTACTATCTAGGCCGTACAAATGAAACCATAAGAGAACAGAACAAAATGGGAGAAAGCTGGTCCCCCACCATGGGCCCTTAATTCCAATGTTGCAGCGTTTTAAAGGAGCAAGTGATCAAACAAGGCTTCTTGGAGGAGGTAGGACTTGAACTGGACTGTGAATGATGGGAAAGGGTTAGCTTGGTAGAGTGGAAAGGGTAGGAGAGTCTGGGGTGGGGGAAGGAACAGTTGAAGCAAAGATGAGGAGGCAGCAATGGAATAGTGTGCTTGCGAGACAATGGGTAGATTATTGGATAAAGCTCTGCTGGTGCCTTTAAGTTGGAAAGAAGTCACCAGCAAAGGCCTTAATTCTGGGGTCTTATCAGAAGTGAAGCCCAGGATCTTCTCTTCATCAATGTAGTGGAAAGAGCGCTCAAGAGACTCAGAAGGCCTGTGTGCCATCTTTGCTCTGCCACTCTCCAGCTAGATCCTTGGAAAAATCCCTTTCTCCCTCT